CATCCGCGCCAGCAGCCAGCGCGGCACGCGCCTCCTGCAGCGCGGCGCGCGCCGCCTGCAGCTCGCGCCGCAGCGCCGCCGCCGCGGCGGACGTCTCCCGGAGCTGCGCCAGGGCAGCGTCCAGCCGCGCCTGCAGGGCGCCGGCACCAGCCTCGGCGCCCGCCGCGGCCGTCGCAACACCCGCGCCCCCCGACGGCGGAACGCCCACCAGGCCGGGCGAGGCCGCCGGCTCGGGGCAGCGGGCCGCCGCGGCCAGCAAAGGGGGCGTCGCGGCCGCCCAGGCCGCCGCGGCCACGGAGGCGGCGGCGGCGGCGGCGGCCGCGGACGCGGCAGGGCTGCCGGCGACAGCGGTAGCCGCCGCAGCAGCGGCCGCTCGGGCCGCGGCGCGCACGCCGGCGGCGTGGGGCGCCGCGGCGGAGGGCTGCGCGGCGCGGCCGGCACCGGCGGCGGCGTCCCGGAGGACGCGCCGCGGCGCAGGGGCGGGGGCCGCCGCGGCGCCCGAGACGCCGGCAGCAGCCGCCTCCACGGCGCGCCGCCGCCGCGCCGCGGGAGTCTCCATCGCCGCGGCGAGAGGAGCCGGAAGGGGGAGGCCCAAGGGGGAGGCCCCGCCCGGCTCCACTCCGGCCGACCGGAGGGCAGGCCGATCCCAAGCGGCGGCGCAGCCGGTTCGGCTCGCTTGAGCCAGAGCGGCTTGAGCCAGAGGGCTTGAGCCAGAGGGCTACGGTAAGGTGCACACAAGTTCTGTAGCAGTCCTGGTGCACAAAGGCATTGTGATCATCACAATGCCTTCGTACATCACAATGTGATGTACAGAGCCCGTGTTGGGCGCACAGGCACGGTGGGTTTGGACGGCGACGACGACGACGACGACGACGAGGACGACGACGACGACGATGACGACGTAGGCGGCGCACCTCGGGGGGTGTGCGCCGTGGCCCCCGTTGCTGTTACCCCCCGGGGGTATGACGTGTTATTTCCCAAAAGTAAGACAACTGTCTACGATTACAGTGGGAACTCATGCCACCCTGCTTACCTCCAGGGTGCCTTGGGTTTCTTGGGATCCGATGATTTTGCTATGGAAATCATGACGTTCCCACATAAATCCATGCACGTCCTTGGGTCTCAGGATTGGGTTTCTTGTGGGAGGATTCTTATGGCCGAGCTCCCACTGCATGAGCGCGCCCTTCTAACAGGGGTGACTGTTTGTCGTGTCAGCTCCTGGGTGAGGCCCCCGACACGGCAAGACAGGCGGGTCGGGTGGACAAACCCTAAAGGCGGGTGTGGCGGGCTGGGCCCCGACACGCGGGCTGGACGGGCGGGTGTCGGGCGCGCGGCGTTTTTTTCTATATAAAAAAAAGCGGGCGGGCTTCCAAGCAAACGAAGTGGCGCACGGACACCACAGGCGGGTCGGGCGGGCGGCCCTTCAAACAGGAAGAGGAGGGAGACAAGGCAAAAAGAGAGAGAGAGAGAGAGAGCGAGGAAAAAGGAGGAAAGGGAAAGGGAGGGAGGACAAGAGGATGGGAGGAGGATTTGAGGACGAAACAGATTCGGCGGGAGGGGGAGGAGAGAGGAGCAGGAAGATGAGCGGGCGTGTCCTGACAGGCAAGTCAGGCGGGCGGACCCGAACGGGCGGGCCGGGCGGGCGGCACCCTGCAGCGGGCGGGCGGGTTTCTAAGCAGACCAATGGCCAGACCCCAACGGGTGGGTGGTGGGGGGCTGGCGATTGGACCCAAGCGGTCGAGACGGGTGGACGGACCATGAGAACGCGATTCTTCAGTAAGTCGTTCGGATGTCCTGGGCGAAAGCACGATTGTGTGCTGTCCGTTCTGAAAATTCGAGCAGCTGTCGTTACCCAGGAGTGGGGGGATTAGAACCCCAGGGCAATGGGCCCTTTTCAGCGGGGTGGGGCACATCGGGGCGGGGGTGCGCTGCCATCGCCATAGTGCGCGCGCGAACACCAGCATGTAGGGGATGTCCAGGTCCCCCTTCGCGGACGATCGCTATCGTTACCAAGGGAGAGGAGGGGGGGCGGGTAACGATTGTGACGCGCCAGAGGATAAAACAAAACAGTGTCTAAGTTGTGCAGTCGGACCGAGGTATAAGACCGAGGTCGGTTCGGGGAGGGTGCTTTAGTTTTCTTCGTGTTTTTTTGATGTTCTTGTGCACCCTGGGGAGGTACCCTTGGATGTTCTGTCTGTTTTGGCCGGCGAAGGGTCTCATGTTCTTGAAGGGTGTTCTCTTGGCTTAGGTCCGTCAATAAGGAAGTCCTGTGCGAGAGTGCGGTCCCTGATTGGCGAGAGCGCGAATCTGGAATAGCATGCGAGGAAGCCCCCAGCGAGATCACGATCCTCGAGCGGCGAGAGCGCGAGTTTGAAACAAGGTTCACGGAACTCTAGGGCGATTCTTGTGTACATTGTGTTGGAAGAAATTCTTGGGATGGCAAATTTTGACGTTGTTTTGGCCCGAAAGTTTCATCTGGCTCAATCCCTTTTGATCAGGGTGAATCCCGCTGAATCCGCGGCCCAATCGGGCGCAGCAGCCCCCCAATTGGGTTCAACTATCCTTATTCCTTCCGGCGAAGACCTCCCAGTAGTGGCCTCCTAACAACGTGAGAACGTATCTGGCGGGAGTCGATGTTGATGCAGCCCGTGGCCCAACAGCACAGTTTGAGCCCCAATCTGTTCTTCACAAGAGGAGAACCCGAGAGGCGGGTTCTACTAGAAGGTCACCGCTGGCACTGGGGAAGGGGATGAATTGCATCTGTTCCTCAAAAGCGAGACCTCAATCATTTGAGAGTTGGATCATTTTTGTTTGTTGACGCGTGTAACCCTTCAGCCCTCGACTCCCGCCCGTTCCGTCCTCGATCATACCTCCAGGAGGGGGATTCATCCGAAGTGTCCGGGGAAGTCCGCAGCGAGAGCGCAGCTCCTGAGCAATTCGCGGGGAGGTCCAGAGCGAGGGCGCGATTCTTGATTTCATGCTGTTGATGCCCACTGCGAGAGCACGATTTCTGAGCGGCGGGAGCGCGATTCTGTTTGAAATTGTACGGAAGGCGTCGGCGAGAGCGCGATTCCAGGACTAGCTGCAAGAGTGTCTCGCGCCAGAGCGCGATTGCTAAAAAGATTGTGAGGAAGCCTTGGGTGAGAGCTCTCCGCTTGCTTGGAAGCCCGCCCGCCTGGTTTAATGACCCTGCCGCCGGGGCCGCTTGTTAGGGTCCGCCCACCCGGCACGCCTTCTACGGTCCGCCCGCACATCGTCCTGCTGCTCTCTCCTCCCCTCCCGCTGAATCTGTTTCGTCCTCAATCCTCTTCCCTTCCGGGCTCAGCGCCGATCCGAGAAATCCGCGCGGACCTCAGAAAATTTACGTTTATGCCATCTTGTGCTCCCCGATGCTTGTGGCAGGCTTCGGGGCTCGCTGAGTCGCCGGCAGATCGTCGGCAGTCTGTATCGCTTTTTTCGGAAGGCCTCGTCCTGTCTGCCGGAGGGGCCACGGCTCGATAAGCTGGAGGCTGGAGGCATGTGCTCGAAGGAAAAGTGGGAAAGGGAAAGAAGGTAAGAGAGGGGGGGGGATAGCAGAGGGGGAACGAATAATAATGAATGGTGAACAGCGCGCGAGGAGAACGAGGAGAAGGACAACACTGACGGTGAGGAGCAAGAAGAGCAGAACGAGGAAGAGGAGCGGATGGATGGAGTAGGAGGTGGCCAGAGGCTTCCAGGGGTCCTCCCCTCATCGTGAAAATAGTTGTTCGACATTAAAGCCCAATCTTTGCTTGGGACGTCTCTGGAGGCGCCCAGAGGACCTCCAGTGACCTCCAGAATCCTCCGGAGACTTACGGGCCACACTCCCCTCGTCGGTTGTGGCTAGAAGCAGTGCCCCTGGCCCAAGATGCCCCCAGGATTTCCAAGGACGCCCCCCACGGCCTCCAGAGCACCCCCCACGAGGCCCAGAGAGCCCCAGGGGCTTCAAGCTTGAGCGGGAAGCCGGGGGCATCTTGGGCCAGGGGCACCTCTGTAGCAACTCCCGACCTCGACATCTCCCTCCTCTCACGCGCGGGGGGGTGTCGCGCGGGTCGCCCGGCCGCCTCCATCGGCGGCCAGCCCGGCGGTCACCTGGCGCCTCTCCTTCTCGGATCGGGCGGCAGGGCCTTTGGGGTTTTCGGCGGCTCTCGCTGGTTCTCGGCGATGTTCCTTCCTCGGCTCGGGGGTTCGTAGAAGGAGGGGTTGTCACAAGGGGGGGTCAGGGAACGAGCTCAGTTGGGTGCTCACACTTCCTTCTTCCAGGAGCATTCTAGAGCGAGAGTCTTCGCAACCCCACCTCCGCACCCACCCCACCCTTACGCCCCCCCGAGCGGGGTGTCTTCCTGCAGCTGCGCCTCGCCGAGAGCGTTCCCCAGGGGTGTCCGAGATGTCCCGAAGGGTCGCTGGTGGTTGCCGTCGCCTGGTCCTCTCTTGCTTTCCCGGGCCCGCACCTCGCTGGTTGAATGGGTGCAGGCTTGCAGCGGCCGATGTGCGGATATGCTTCCCGTGCTCGGAGCCGGCCCCCAGAACATCACAGACCGATGGCAGTCTGCCCAGGGCCGCAGAGCAAAAGCAGTCGCGGGCTGAGGGTGACGACGACGCGATAGCGGCGACGGCGTTGCTTTCTCGCCTTTTCCCTTCCGACGGCCCCCCGAGGCCTCAAGGTGGCTCAAAGATGGCCCGACGCAGCCCCAAGAGAGGCTCAAGAGCGTTCCCAAACCGCGTGAGGAGGCTTGTCGAAGAATGCGTTGGGGTAGGAAGATGAGGAGGACCAGGAGGAAAAAAAACATGAGGAGGGGAGGAGCAGGTTGGAGGAGTACGAGGATGCAGAGCAGGGAAAGCGCGAGGACGAGGACGCTGACGAAGACGACGACGACGACGAATATAGCGAAAGGCATAGGAGAAGGGAGGCGGCGGCGGCGGCGGAGGAGGAGGAGGCGGAGGAGGAGGAGGAGGAGGAGGAGGAGGAGGAGGGACGTCAGGCGCACCTCAACTCCGACGGGCACCAGAAAAAGCTCGCGTGGATAGGCGTGGCCCCAGACCCTGGCCCACAGGGCCCGCCGCTCAGGCCCACACAGGCCGCCGGCGGGGGAGGCAGAGGGGCACAGCACAGCGGGAAGGAGCAGGGGAGAAAGCCAGGAGAGCATGCGCATGCCAGGGAGGGCCAGGGCTCGGCATCGCTCGGACGTGTGCGTGCTGTCTCGGCGAGGACCACCAGGGAGCCCTTGGGGTCATCCTGCGAGAAATGCACGCACGAAGCCGAACAATGCAGGGGGAATGGACGTCCGAGCGACGGCGTTGGTCGAAGCCCCCCTGGAGTGTAGGATGACCCGGGCGCGGGAGGCGCCAGCGGGAGGATGCTAAGTGGGGGAGGCAAAGAGTGGGGCCAGGAAGAGCGGGTTTTGAATTCAGCCTTTTTGTGAGAAGATTAGGAGCGAAAGGTGCATAAAGAGCAGAAGGACATGGGAGTACGATCGAGGACAGCAAAGCGTGTATGAAGGCAGGCCACGTGAAGTGAAAGTATGTGGGATATACCGACAGAACTTGCACTGGGTTTCTGGTCCCATTTGTCCAATGTTGTGCGGTGCGCAGCGCGTCGCCCGGTCCAGGGTTGCACACCGCATGCGGTGGGGGCGTTGGTTGAGGAATGTGCCCAGGAGGCTTCACACCCTGGAGGATTCTGTATCTGCTGGGGGCGGCGGTGATCTCCATGGCCAATCCACAATTGCAGTTGCACTGGCTTCAAGACTCTGCATTCCTTATCTAAGGAATCATTGCTCGATGACCCCATCGTATTACAGTGGCATGCTGTCTTGCCAAGAAGAGGAAGGAGCGCGCCAGTTATGTCGAGATGCCGCTGGTACTCTACACGAATACACTGCACTGGTACACTTACACGAGGACGCTACACCAGTATGCTTCACCGAGGCAAGACGCTAGTCCATTGCGCGAATACACCACAATGGTGTGCTGCTACACGTGCGCTAACGCACGGCACTGGCACCATGCCCTCCCTGATTCCAGGGCCACGATCTCCCGCCCGCCCTCCTCGTCCCCCCTTTCTCGTTGGGTCGTGAGCGCGTTTGTGGAGTATCGCCCAGGGCCGTGATTGAATTTGTGCAGCGTCTCGGAGGGCAGCGAGTGCCTCCTGCACTTCGCTGCCAGCAGGGGTAGGTCGCGGACGATTTGCGTCGACGATCCCGAGGCGCTCCGAGGCCATTCCTGCAGGCTGGGGGCGTGGGCTGCTTGCGGCGATGATCGCGAGGACCTCAGAGGCCGGCCTCGAAGTTCTTGACGCTTCGCGCACGGTCAGGAGTGTGCCGGGCGCCGCTCGCTTCGCTGATCGCTGTTTCCCCCCTTAACTGCGGCGCGGCCCGCCCCAGCTTGCTCGGCGTTCGGCTCGTCTTCGCGCACCCGCGTGCCAGAAAAGTGCGGTCGGGGGTGTGGGCCTCGCGTGTCGCTCCGCCGCTTCTGGCCCACCCTGCCCTGGCGCGACAGCGTCCCGAGCCGTTCCCGGCACCCCGCCCCGCGGAGAGGAGCGGCACGCCATGCGCTTGCAAGGGGTCAGCGTGTCGCCGGCGCCGCCGCGGCGGCACGCTGCGCAAGAGCTCCCGGCCGTACAGTGTGGAGGCCCGGTTGCCTCCAGGGTGCCCCTGGGCTCCTTGGGTCTCGATAGTCTTTTGCTACCGAAGTAAAGCGTGATCTTCCCACACCAAAAATCACTGGACGTCCCGTGGTCTCAGGGTCGGGTTCCTTGTGGAGGGTTTCCTGTGGTCGGCCCCCCACTGTATCCCCACCGCCCTGTCCAGCAGCGGTGCACATGCGAGTGGCCCTGCTCAGGGAATTTTGCAGGAGGAAGCAGTGGAACAAATAGGGGGCAGCCACCAAGCCGCAAAGCCTCGGGTCAGCCTCAGAAGACCCGGGAGTCAACCATCACTGTCCCAGCTGACCTCTCGATCTGAGAGCCTTCTTTGGGTTTCTTAAGAAGCGTGGGGGGGTACCCCCCCAACGGGGGTCATCCTCGCTTCGTCGTTGCGCCGCGACGCTGGTTGGAGCACCTTCGGCTCGCGGTGGCTGCCCGCGACGGGGGTCGATGTGGGGCTGTCGGCGGGCCCCCCCGACGCTTATTAAGAAACTCGGAGTATTGACAGATTATTTGGGCCATTTGGTAGGCCAGTGGGGGCCCACTTTGGACTCTCGTGGGGCCCTCTCGAAAGCATGTCGGGCCCTCCTGGGGACATCTCGCAAAAAAGGGGGCGTGCTCCATTGAGGTCCACATCGCCAGGGTCAGAGACATCGCAGCTTGGGGCCCTCTTGAGATGTTCCTGAGGCGCTCTCGGGCGCTGTTGGGGCCATCGGGACCGCATTGGCGCCCGTAGGACCCGTCGTGGAGCTCTGTTCGGTGGGTATTGGAGCCATCTTGGGGCCTCAGGAGCCAATCTGAAGCGAAAGTGCAAGAAGGATTTCTTGGCCCAAATGCCT